GTGTAACTGGCTCATATGGACTTATGCAGGTTCAATGGTAGGCATATGCTGGAAATGTTGAGAACAAAACATGTAGTTTTTTATGGGGATTCTCTAAATAGAAATATGTGGGAATCTCTGGTGTGTGTCCTTCGTAATACAGTGGAAGACAAAAGCAGAGTTTTTGAAGCCTCTGGCAGAAATGAATTTTGAACAGATGGTTCTTATTCTTTCATATTTGAAGTATATTTTCGATATTCTTTTCTTTTTGGTTCACTTTAAAAGTCTCTATGTGGAAACTCTAATTCAGAATTTTAATGTTAATATAAAGATCATATCTTTAGATAATCAATCAAGAGGTGGGCTAAATTATCCTCTCTCTCAGTCTGAGCACCCCTTTTTCCTCACAACAATGGTGGAAGTGGAGGGTCTGAGATTCGACTCATCAATCTAACAGGTAATTTCTTCTCTCTTCCCCTGTTTCTTTCATCCCCAGAAATCACAAAACTAGTGATCAGTTCTGTTTTCTGTAAATAATTGAATTAATATTCTAAAAACTCATGGGTTTCAACTTTTTTCTTTCAGATTTTCTTTAGTTAAAAGGGCTGCTGGTTTTCATCAAAGGTAAGGTGTTGCTTTCTCTGTGATGTGGGTTTGTTATGTGCTAGGTCTGTTTATTGCAAGTTCAATATTTCAATGAAAACAAACAATTCAAGCAATTCACTTCTGCATTTTTTTGTTTGTTACAAAACTGACCCTCTCAGCCCATTTCAAGATTCGAACTTGAGATAAGCTCTTAACCACTTGGTTGTGCCCTAGCAGACTTGGGTCATTGTAAGATAATGAATTATTTGCTTGTTCTTTTAATATTTTGAGAGTGTAAAGACTAAAGTGGATAATTTAGTATCAGTGACAAAGGCAAACTCCAGAACTATAAAATAGGTGAGAAAAGTGGCATAATTCATAATGTTATCATGGAAGGGGCTAATGTAATGCTTATGACCACTTTCACATGAGAATGTTATTAATGTAATTTTTTCTTAACTTGTCTTAGAGTGAGTGGCTAGTTCAATAGATCAATAGCAAAATAGCCTTCCATTCTTGAACTCTGTATTATAACATCTACAAACCTTCCGATGAAGTGTTTATTTAATCTGAACAGGTCCCATTGGTCCTTAATTATTTGTCGATAGCCTTCAGCATTTTGACCTTAGCGTCTTAGCCACTAAATGCCATAATATGGTGTTTCTCTTTCTTTTTTTTTCTTTTTTTTTCTTTTTTTTTTTTTTTGAAAAGCAAAAGAATTTATGACTTTTTTTTTTTGGGTTAGATTGCACTCCTATCACATTGAAAGATTGATATGAAAGCCTTAAGCTTTATGACTTTTGACAGTAATGATTTTATGGGGTGTTCATTGGAGTGTTTCACTGTAAACAACAAACTTGGTTTGTCTTTCCTTTTTTTCGTTGGCACCATCTTGTCCTATACATATTTGATTTTGTTGAGTTAGTCTGTTTTGGTGGTTGTGTCTTTTGTTGTGCAGAGTTGTCGGCTGTAAAACTATAAAAAGTTGCTGAAACCTCATTGTTCTTATATCAAATGATTTAATTATTGGTACATAAGAGTAGTGGAAACTCTGGCCCTAAATGTTTTTCCTTTTTGGCTAAGATTATTTCCATGCGTATCACATTAAGCAAGTGATATGAAAGCTTACTTGTCAATTGCCTTAAGCTTTATGTCCTTTGACAGTAAATGATTTTATGGGATGTTTGTTGGACTAAAAGCAGTTCCACTGTTCCTGATCTTTTAACAACAATGTATTGCCAAAACAATAAACTTGGTTTGTCCTTAGCATCATCTTCCCCTATACATATTTGATATTATTAAGTTACGGTCTGTGTGTTTGGTGGTTGTCTCTTTTTTGATCTTTGGAATTCTGGATTCTCTTCCCTCTCACCAGCCTTTGAACCGGGGATCCCAAGGCCAAGAATTTGGTTTCTCGGCCAACAGGACCTAGGGGGGCTATTTGGTGATTGTCTCTTTTGCTCTCCAGGCACAGAGTTGTTGGCTGTAACTGTACGGAGTTGAGAGAACCGTATCGGTCTTATGTCCAACCAAAACTTTCATAATTGGAAATCTGATAATGGTTCTGGGAAGCAAAAAGATTTGAACCATTCCACTTTGTTGAATGGTGGGTTAACCTTTATGCTTCTAAGATGGTGTTAGATTCAGAAATCCAAGTGATGGAACTTTGACCCTATTTTATTTTTTGGTTAGATCGTTTTGAAATCATAATTAGAGAGTAATGCGAAAGCAATAACGTCTCAAGTGGCCTTAAACTTTATGTTCTTTCGTACTAACGAGGGGTTGGATCAAGTGGTAAGCTGCTTGTTCCAGCTTAAGTAAGGTCTCGAGTTCGAGAGCCTCCGTTGGGAGACTCACCCACCATTTCCAGGTGCGTGACACGGGTCGATCCGGATTAATCGGGGCGAAGCCCCGGATACCGGACGGGAAACAGAAAAAAAAACTTTATGTCCTTTTGTAATAATTTTTTATGAAAGAATTATCAATCCTGCGCTTCCCAAGTAATCTTAATGGGCTTAGCTGGCTCACATCGGCAATCCTTGAGTCGTTTGATGGTATACACAGTACACTTGCCATTTTGCGTGGCTTCCAAAATACTGCAAGATATTAAGGAAACTGAATCTGCTGCAATAAAGTAGGAAACTGAATTTGCTGCACTAGAGTAATTACCCAGGATTGTATATTTCCAATTAATGTGTATCTTAGATCTTATTCTAGTCTAATTAGAATTCCTGTATGCAGTAGGACAATCTTGTATATAAACACATCTTGTATGGTTGAATAAAGACATAGAAACAGAGTTTCATACCAGATACAGAGTTCATACCAGTAAGCTGCAATAGTGGTATCAGAGCCCACCTCCAACGAGACCTCTGACCTCTTTACTTCCCAACCATGGACTCCGACAGCAGCTCCTCTAAAACCAACGCAATCAACCCAAACTCAGCAGCCACCGTGATCAACAATCAACGCAGCCCCTTCTCATTCAACGCTGCGGCTTTTCCCTTAAAGTTGACTCCAACTAATTATTTATCTTGGAAATCACAATGCACTTGTCTTCTTGCAGGATTTGAGCTCCTTGGTTATTTGGATGGTTCTCATCCATCCCCTGTTGCCACAGAACCAAGCTATAGTCTGTGGGCACGCCAGGATCAGTTAATTCGCCATGCACTGATTACTTCCGTATCCGACAGCATTACACCATACATAGCCGCTACAGCTACGGCACAACAGGCATGGGAAACATTAGCGAGACTCTATGCAAATCGATCTCGCACCCGTGTCATCACCCTTAAGGAACGCCTGCAGAACATGCGTCGTGACGGTCGCTCGGTGTCTGAATATCTCCGAGCACTCAAGTTTGTGGCAGATGAATTAGGGACAATAGATTGGCCTCTCACTGATGATGATCTTACAGTCTACATATTGAATGGACTAGGACCAGAATTCCGAGAGATAGCAGCCTCTCTTCGTACTCGTGATTCATCCCTCTCCTTTGATGATCTGCACGATCGACTGGTGGCTCATAAGGAAAGCCTTAGGCGAGAGGAACTTAAGGCTGATTCTTCCCCAATAACCGCACACTATGCTTCAATACCGAAGTCTATGTCGTCTTCACAGGTTGGTCTTTTTCCTCCTGCCTCAAACAATCGTTACTCACCTTCAACTTCTTCACAGAATCGCAGAGGTGGAAACTCATATCAGCAAAGGCCCAACAACAAAAGGTGCGGTTCATTCTCTAGGCCCAATAACATTAGTCGACCCACTTGCCAGTTATGTAACCAGGCTGGTCACTTTGCCCGGAGTTGTCCCTATCATCGGATCCAGAATCTGAACCCCCAGGCCAACTATGCTTCTTCTGCGACAGCTGCTGATGATTGGCTCTTAGACTCAGGAGCAACTAATCATGTAACCACTGATTTGGCAAACCTTGCACTCCATTCTGAGTATCATGGTCTTGATGAACTCCAAATTGGTGATGGAACAGGTTTGAATATTACACATGTGGGTCATACCACACTCTCTACTCCCTCTTACCCCCTTCCTTTAAAAGACATATTATGCGTTCCCCAAGCATCTCGAAACTTAATCTTTGTTTCTCAATTATGTAAAAGTGCTGATGTTTTTGTCGAATTTCACTCCACTTTCTTTTTGGTGAAGGATCGTCGCATGAGGGAGAGACTGTTGCGAGGCAAAAACACTCATGGGGTCTATCACATCCCTGGTCAAGTTAAAGCACAACCTGCGGCCCTAGTTAGAGAACGTGTTAGTTTGGCAAATTGGCATTCGCGTTTAGGTCATCCTTCTACGAAGATCATTAAAACTATTGTTAAAAATTTCCATCTACCTATTTCTAATAATAAAATGAGTTCCCTTTTCTGTGATTCGTGTGCATGTTCCAAAAGTCACAAACTTCCATTTTCAAAGTCATCTATTACAAGCACGCATCCTTTAGAGCATGTCTACTCCGATGTTTGGGGTCCAGCCCCAATCACTTCTGTGGATGGATTCCAATACTTTTTGTTTATTGATTTTTTTAGTCGCTACATATGGATTTTTCCACTCAAACAAAAATCTGATATTTCTCTAATTTTTCCCAAATTTAAGACTCTTGTGGAAAATCAATTTGGCCACAAAATTAAAAATTTTCATTCTGATGGTGGGGGTGAATTTATTGCCTTGCGCGGTTTTCTCTCTCAACAAGGCATTTCTCATTTTATTTCTCCGCCATACACTCCTGAATTAAATGGTATTAGTGAACGTCGTAACCGTCATATTGTAGAAACTGGTCTTGCCCTCTTGCACCATGCTTCCCTACCTTCCGCTTATTGGTCTCATGCTTTTCAAACTACGGTGTATCTAATTAATAGATTACCCACTGCAGTGCTCTTTTCTTTGTCTCCCTTGGAGAAGCTTTTTAAAATTAAACCCAATTATTATAAGTTGCATGCCTTTGGGTGTTTGTGCTATCCTTGGCTTCATCTTTATAACACAAACAAATTACAATTTCGATCTCGCCTTTGTGTCTTTCTTGGTTATTCAAATGAGACTTTGGGTTACAAATGTTTGGATTTACAATCTGGGAAACTATATACCTCATGTCATGTTGTTTTTCAAGAGTCTACTTTCTCATTTAAAAATTCCACTTTCTTGTGTGATGCCTCTAATTCCTCATCGACTTTCCGTGACATGCCAATGATGCCAAACTCCACGAGTGCAGGTATGAGTGTTGAGCCTCCTCCATTGGTCCCTTGTGTACCGACTCACTCTCACCGCCCATCTAAGTTCCATAATGTCCAACAAAGCCATGAGCAACCTCCAGCTTCTATTTACCCATTATCTACCCTTGTGGCCACTAGCACACCCTCTCCCCTTCCTTCCCTTACTTCACCAGCCTCTCCCATTGCGACCAATTCCGTCCACCAATCCCCTGCCCCATTCGATTCCCACTCCTCCCCTCTTAGGTCCCCACCACCGCAACCTCTTCGGACTCACCCAATGGTCACTCGTTCCCAAAACAATATTTTCAAACCTAGGACACTCTTCCATGCAACCAAATCTCCATTGTCCCTCCCTGTTGAACCCACTTGTGTCACACAAGCTCTTAAGGATCCCAATTGGAGACAGGCTATGTCCGAGGAGTTTAGTGCATTGGTTCGCCAAGGAACGTGGGAACTGGTTCCTTCACACCCATCTCAACATGTTCTTGGTTGCAAATGGGTCTTTCGCTTGAAAAGAGGCAAAGATGGGTCCATTGAGCGCTATAAGGCGCGTCTTGTTGCGAAGGGCTTTCATCAACGACCAGGTTCTGATTCCTTTAATACTTTCAGTCCTGTTATCAAGCCTACCACAATTTGTACTGTCTTATCTCTTGCAGTGAGTAGGAGGTGGTCTATTCAGCAATTAGATGTTAATAATGCTTTCCTTCATGGACACATTGATGAGGTATTATACATGCAGCAACCGACAGGCTTTGTGGATCACAATTTTCCTTCACATGTTTGTAGGCTACGAAAATCTTTGTATGGCCTTAAGCAGGTCCCTAGGGCCTGGTTTCGAGCTCTTAAGGACTTCTTTTTGGCTCACGGCTTCTTTCACTCTAAGTCTGACAATTCCTTATTTATCTATCATAAAGGCTCCACTTGGATCTATTTTTTGGTCTATGTCGACGATATCATTGTTACTGGGAATGATTCTGCTGCAGTTCAATCCATTGTGCAAGTCATGAGTGCCACTTTCTCCCTCAAAGATCTTGGTCCCTTGAGTTTTTTTCTCGGCATAGAGGCAATCTCTACTAAGGATGGGCTTTTTCTCTCTCAATAGAGGTATATTCTTGATCTTCTTCAAAAAACTAGTATGGCTGCTGCTAAACTTGTCTCCAGTCCTTTGGCTTCTACTTCTGTTCTGCAGCTATCCACTGGCACTCCTCTCTCTGATGGCACCAATTATAGGAAAATTGTTGGCTCTCTTCAGTACCTATCTCTTACGCGGCCTGATCTCTCCTTTGTTGTTAGTCGCTTGTCTCAATTTATGCATCATCCTACTGATTCTCATTGGCAAGCTGTGAAACGCGTTCTCCGTTATCTTCGCGGTTCTGTCTCTCACGGCTTACTTTTGCGACCCCAGCCAACTTTGTCACTCCATGCATTTTCTGATGCTAATTGGGCTAGAGATCGAGATACTTATACCTCAACCACTGGCTATCTTGTATTTCTTGGCAGCAATCTTGTGTCCTGGCGCGCTGTTAAGCAACGAGCAGTTGCTCGAAGCTCTACTGAGGCTGAATATCGAGCTTTAGCTACTACTACCTCTGAAGTTGCTTGGATTCAGCATTTGCTTTTTGAATTGGGTGTCTCCTCATCTATTCCTCCTGCCATTTTTTGTGACAACATTGGTGCCACCTATCTTAGCAGTAATCCTGTTTTTCATTCTCGGATGAAGCACATTGCCATTGATCTTCATTTCGTGCGTGAACTAGTTGATCGGAAGGTTCTACATGTTTCCCACATTTCTTCTCATGATCAATTGGATAATGCTCTTACCAAGGCCCTTCCCTCACTTCGGTTTCGTTCTTTGAGGTCCAAGATCGGTGTTGCCGATGGCACCTCCGTCTTGCGGGGGCATATTAAGGAAACTGAATCTGCTGCAATAAAGTAGGAAACTGAATCTGCTGCACTAGAGTAATTACCCAAGATTGTATATTTCCAATTAATGTGTATCTTAGATCTTATTCTAGTCTAATTAGAATTCCTGTATGCAGTAGGACAATCTTGTATATAAACACATCTTGTATGGCTGAATAAAGACATAGAAACAGAGTTTCATACCAGTAAGCTGCAATACAAGAAACCACCCAAAATTGCTCCGTCATAGAACATCCACTACACTGTGCTTCCAATAGCAGCCTATTAGGGCATAGGGTTTAGGCAGGCCGTCAGCACCGTCACTATCCTCCGCATCTGCTTCCAAGGTGGCAGGCCTGTTCTCCACCCTAACAGCCAAACCTTTCCGTTCGTTCCAGTCCTCA